AGCGAAGGCCTCCAACCTAATAGCCATGGCCTCCAACCTAACAGCGAAGGCCTCCAACCTAATAGCCATTGCCTCCAACCTAACAGCGAAGGTTGCGACCAAGCTTTTTTGCAAAACTGGCTGTGGCACCTTGCCTCGCAGGCCGCCATAGATCACCATCCAGTCATGTCCGCGACCGTCCTTCAGCACCCCGCCGCCACCACCATCGGCATTAAAGGTCCTTCGCAGTTCCAGACTTTGGCCTACTAGTAAGGCACTTGTTACTAGAAGCGATGCACTTGTTACTACTAGCTTTTTGAAACAACAATCTTGGTTTCTCTCCTTTTCGTTCTCTTCTTTATTCAAAGTGGGACCTATATTAGATAGAAGTCTTGCGCTAATGGCCGTGTCCTTGGTGGTGGGCGAGTCGAGCCTTCCGCCACCAGGTGCCAAACATGTTGATCCAAAACCCAAGTGTCGGACATCATGTGACCTCTGATGAGGTCATTGCCTCGTACCCAAAGCGCAAGAAAGAACGAAGCCCATTCAACCTCACCGCAACATGCCGCATGCCATATCAGGCCTCCAAAAATAATGAGCTGGCCAGATGATGTCCCGAAAGCTACATGGTGATCCTGAAAGCACACTGGGGCAGCAGACATCCGCAATTCTCAGATTAATCGACCCGACTACTTTAATGCCATCAAGCAGCTCTGGCTGGTGGTGCCGGGCCAGTCTCCAATGGTAACCACTTGGGTTTGGACGCTAAACTTAACGCTCCTCAGGCCCAAGAAAGTGCTGCTGCTATCATGAGTATCCGACGTTAAGACATGTGGCACCCAACGAAACCCGGCATCACACTGTCAGGTTAGCCAGGCTGTCTGCCAAGAACATGAAAAACAAATCAGCGTACGAACATGAATATGCACACGGCAAAGTGGAGCTTTGGCGAACCACCCAAAGCAACCGGTCGGCAAGCATCATCATCACAATCAATGTAGTGTGGATGCAATCAACTGTTGCTTGAGAAGGTACCATGGAGGCCGTGGTTGAAAGGAGAGGACGTAGCAACAAAGGTCATGCGCATGAGCCCACAACCCAACGCCCCCCAAGATGTGAAGAACGCACATCACACTTGCCGTCAAGGGCTCTTTTTGGAGTACAACCACTTTGCCAGGATGTTGCAGGTTATCATCAGAAATACAAAATCCAGCCAATGAGACAGCATTCCCACCCTTCGCCATGCCATGACAACACTATCACTACCACAAACGGAAGGAGCCACAATGCACCTCCAAACCAGATCAGCAACTCATTGCGCTATCACCACAAGTTTTTCTAAACAATGCCTAGAAGGAACTGTAACGGGTTTGGGCACAGCATCACATGATTTGTTTCACCTAAACCTTTGCGTCCGCACCAAGAAGCACGCAGCGCTGGGGCAAATAGTCTGAGACGAGCGGCAATACAAAAGCGAGAGCCCTGCCGCATTACACCGTTAACATGCCATTCAAAAGGCTTGTCATGGTAAACTTGCAAATATTGGAGGCCTTTCTTGATTCCTGGCGTGGTGTGGATGAGGAACCAAAAGGATGCTGGCAAATGGGATGGCACCGCGCTCTGTTGTTGTGTGGAGACTGCGAAACAGGTACCGTGGATACCAACTGGCATAAGCGGGAAGAGCTGAGCACAAGTCAAGTAGGCTCAGCCGGCATGAAGTATATGAATTAAAAAAAGCCAATGCAAAAGCGGTTGAGTCTAGATTTTGAGCTTAGGTGCCAAGTGTATGCAGTGGAGATGCTTCATGCACCTCTTTGTGGTAGCTTCAAAACAAGCACGGCTTAAGAAAAGCACCTGAATCTGTCGCAAATGATGCTCCAGCTGGTGGAAGCGTTCCGCCGCTGCTTTCTAGAGACGTATTATGCGGGGCATGTCCACAATAGTGACATTGGGCAGGACACCAAGAATCTCACCAGCAACCAGGCATGACCAGGCCAAGCAACACGGGCTACCCAACAGTTGGTGGCAGCCGGCCCCTGCGCACATCCACCTCTCATATAATTGGAATACCCCGCGAAGCTCTATATAAACGTGCCAACCCGGAAAGGTCCCCAGTTCTGCCTAGCGGCAAACAATTTATTCGATTCCGAACATGCATAAAGCCGACACAGCCCAGTGACTTCGCAGCTGCCGGACATTGGAAGCACCCTTGGCACGGCATGCCTCCCACTACGAAACATCAACACCTCTGAACCTTCAAGAGATAGATGGCAGCTGCAGCCAAAACTCACAAGATGCAAAAATTCAATGGGAAAGAACCCCCCACGCCTCTTGCCAGGCGTCCTCGTTTTGAAGGTGCCCAGCTACATATCGACTGCTCGAGGAAAAGGAGCCAATGGATTTCACATCCAGCTCCTAACAGCGCAGGCAGCTGCAGTAGCATGGAACCATCATCCAAGTCTGCTATCATCAACAAAGCATGAGATCATATCGTTGGGGCAGATCGTTGTCAAATGGCTGTCACACCGTGAGAAAGAGTGGTTTCGTCCCACATCGTGTCTAAGCAGGGTTGTCGGCTTGGGTCTGACAAAATTAAGTCAATATTTCAACGGTCCTTTAATTGCAACTGCTCAAACGTCGGCTCCTCATGAAACCCTATTCAACTGGCTTCAGGGCATACGTAATGCCTATGTGGCATCTCATCCAAGGCACTCGGCAAAGATTGTAGAAGAGTTCATCACCTAGCAAGACCCATGTTGACGGACAGTAGGGGCCTTCCTCCAATATGGATTTGTGCAGGCTGCCAGCTGATTGACAGGATCAAGCTTCCCAAGCTAGCTAGAGTGCGCGACTAGACTACATCTCTGATCTGAACGATCTAACAGAGTCTAACATACTCAAACAGCATCCAAAAATGTAACTGCTGTTTCGAATCACTTTTTCGTTTCGAAGGCCGCCTAGCTCGCATAAGCCACATTGGCTGCATTGGGGCTTGTTGAGTCGCCGCTGGCAGTTTAGCGTGGTGAGCTTGAGTGTCGAGGTTGCGTGGCCCATGGCAGCGGCAAAACATGGAAACAAGATCTGTATTTATTGTTGGTCATGGTTTTTTAAAGACGGCTGATAAGCTAATTGTTTGTTTTGACCTGCCGGTGGAGCGTGGCATGGACTTCAACCCAGAGACAGTGCAAGCCTTTAATTCGGAATTGGTTGCGTAGCGGCCACAGATGAGATATTTCTTTGGTTACCGCAAAGGGATGCAAAGGGAAAACATTGGTCATGGTACACTTTCTTGGGTTTGAATTCGAACACCCCTGGCTAGTGCAGTTGCTTCGGCCAATGTTCGGGAGAATGTAGGGACTCCTCGCGCTGTCTCGATTGTGATCGTGAAGGGGCCCCGACGACAAGGAGGGAATTGTTGCGACAGACCCAATTCGAGCCAGACATGAACTGCAACAACTGACCATTTTTTTTGAAGGAAGATAGCTGGCCTCCTTCTAACTGCAATAACTCACAAACAGTGGCCTCACATGCCTCAACAATGAATGGCTTTGACTGTGGCGCGGGCTCTTCTGCACAACGGTTGAACATGGAACCCTACATTTACATTAACTTGACAACGTTTACAATAAGTGCATTAACGTAAACCGTATACATATTCAAGACCCCCACGCTGTCCGGACGAGCACTTTTCATTAGAGGCATGCCACTACTTCCGTTTCGGCCAACCCACAACAGAAAGGAGAGCGCCCCTCATGTCCCACAAGCGCCCCGCCAGAGCGAAGAACCGGCTTTGCGCAAACATAAGTTTCTACAGGCCAGCTTTTAAAACAGCCCCTTCCATGCTCCTCCAAGCTGCTCTAGCACGCTCCAGCAGGTGAGGCAACACAAACAAGCCCTGTGAAACAAATGCACACAGAAACAGCAACAGCGCTGTCTTAAAAAGCACACATCGCGCGAGCATGTAGGTTCTGGCGGCCCGGGCAGCGGCCCAGCTACCCTGGACGAGGATCTTGTCTAAGGACCCGTGCAGCTGTTGGTGTGGAGCTGGGGTGTTGACTGTGGGGGAAGTCAAATTGGCCTCACTCCCCGGCTTCAACATTGGTCACCGAGTTTCCCTGGTCGCCTCCTGCTGGGCAATTCAATGAGTTTCTCAGTGGGCTTTGCATCCAGCCCCGCAAAGTCGGAAGGTCGTGCCACGTTTTGCGTTCTTCCTTGCTCTGGCCCCTCTCCCTCTGCCTCCTTTGTGCTCCCTCCACAGCCTCCAGCATCTTCCCAATACCCCTTGCTTGGGGATGGGCAGGGGGCTCCGTCCCTCTTGCCACACCTCCTTTCCCGCTTTGCCTTCGACACGAGGCCGAGCTTTTCGGCACTCCAAGGACTTGATCCGTTGCAAGGCCACGTCCGGCCTCTCAAAACTGGCCTCCCCCCCAGTGATGAATCCTTTGGCAGCACCCCTCGAGGACGATCCCCGGGGCTGTTCCGCTCTTTCGGGCGCTGGGCCGACCCCGAACTTTCGATGCAAAACCCGCAGCTTCTCGGTGCAGCTTCAGCCAAGTTGCTGCGGATCAACGAACATGACTCCGTCCCTCTTAGGACGAAAAATTACGAAAGATATACTGTATATATCTGCACTTAAACTGACCTTCACAAAGCCAGCTTTCTCAGTCCAAATCTTCTGCCTCGGGCGGTGCCGGTGGTGCCACTGCGGCTTCGTCCATCAGCGGCGCAAGCTCTGCAGCTGCCAAGGCTGGTTCGACAGGCGCCACGGGTGCCTCCTGACAGTCGAATATTCGAAAGTCAACTCAATTCACAACACAAAACGACCAACATGAATCGTCCACCAGCGTGACCCTCACAATCCGACGCGTCACTTTTAATCGTCTCAAACTCGTCTCTCGTTTCAGACTGTGAAGCTCCCAGACCTGCGAAGGCGCTTCGGGTGTCGAAGCGGGAAACCTGGTGGTGCAAGCAAGTAGAACCAGTAGGGTTCAGAATTCCTTTCTTGACTTCTCTTGACCGAACTCAACACATCTTCAATTTGCAGTTTGGAAGCCTGGGAGGCACAACCTTGCCCTTTTTCGGCACGCGAGGGTGCAAGAACTGTTGTTCCTGCCCACGAACTTTTCATCCAAACTACCCAAGAACCACCGCAATGCTTCCTTCAAACATAAGCTGACAATTGAAATATATTTCTTGATGGTAGGTTTCAGGCCTGAAAAACCTGGGCCATCAACGGAGGGCTCTCGGCCTCCAGTGCACAAGAAAGGAGCAAAGCACAAGAACGACGTTCATGGAACAAATCATGCTGCTATATGAACAACAACCCTGGCCATTGCTGGTAGGTTGGAGGCCATCGCCATTAGGTTGGAGGCCATTGCTTTAGGGTTGGAGGCCATCGCTGGTTGGAGGCCATCGCTACTAGGTTGGAGGCCATTGCTATTGGGTTGGAGGCCATCGCTAGTAGGTTAGTAGGTTGGATGCCATCGCTATTAGGTTGGAGGCCATTGCTTTAGGGTTGGAGGCCATCTCTATTAGGTTGAAGGCCATCGCTGGTTGGAGGCCATCGCCAGTAGGTTGGAGGACATCGCTAGCAGGTTGGAGGCCATCGCTGGTTGGAGGCAATCGCTAGTAGGTCGGAGGCCATCGCTAGTAGGTTGGAGGCCTTTGCTATTAGGTTGGAGGCCATCTCTATCAGGTTGGAGGCCATCGCTATTAGGTTGGAGGCCATCGCTAGTAGGTTGGGACCATCGTTAGTAGGTTGGAGGCCATTGCTAGTAGGTTGGAGGCCATTGCTAGTAAGTTGGAGGCCATCTCTGCTATTGGGTTGGAGGCCATCTCTATTGGGTTGGGACCATTGTTAGTAAGTTGAAGGCTGTTGCTAGTAGGTTGGAGGCCATCGCTAGCAGGTTGGTGGCCATTGCTCTTCGGTTGGAGGTCTTCGCTGTTATGGTGCAGGCCATCGCTAGTAGGTTGGAGGCCTTTGCTAGTAGGTTGGAGGCCATCTCTATTAGGTTGGAGGCCATAGTAGGTTGGAGGCCTTTGCTAGTAGGTTGGAGGCCATCGCTAGCAGGTTGGAGGCCATCGCTATTAGGTTGCAACCTTCGCTTTCAGGTTGGGGGCCATCGCCATTAGGTTGGAGGCCCTCGCAATTAGGTTGGAGGCCATCGCTAGTAGGTTGGAGGCCATCGCCGATAGGTTGCATGCGTGTTGCGCACGTCAAACACGACTATGAAGCGTGGCTTTGCACGGTTTCACTCCCGCTTGCCCGCTTCACCTGCACCTGTGCGACCTTCCGGAAGACCAGAATGGCATCCCTCGGGTGATTCAACCCAGAGTGAGACTGGTTCTGATGATTCTTTATGTGGCTCTTCACTGTTCCTAGTAGTAAGGCCAGGAGCCCCTAGTAGCATCCTTGCTCCTAGTAGTAAGGCCAGGAACCCCTAGTAGCGTCTTGAGTCTTCACTGTTCCTCATTCAACCCAAACATGAACAGAATCAAGATCCTTTGTGGAACTTGTGATGTCCAAACCTGACTCTTACATCCCATGGCTGCAAGGCGCTTCATATTCATACTCTTCACCAAACGTCAATCCGCTTTGCCAGGCTACGTCAATCCGCTCGGAGACACCGAGACCTGCTTCTCAAAGCCCTGCTGCCCCTGCACTGTCCGCGCGAACTCTCAGACCGTGCAGAGACCAAACGCACTTTGGTTCGTGAGGTCCGCACCAGCAGCTCACTAAACCGTTCAGGCCGTAGGATCAACGTGTTGTGCATCCCACCTCAGAGCTCTTCGGACATACTCCTGCCGACTCCACGTTGTTTAGGTATCAATCCAGACATCAATCAACTGTTTAAAATCAACCGGCAAAGTGAACCGTCTGGAGATCTCCCAAAGCAAGAACTACTATTACCACCACGACCACCTCCTTAGTAATTAGTATTTGCTGTGGGTTCCACTGCCATACCACTACCACTACCACTAGCTCCTCCTCATACTCCTGTTGCTGCTGCTTCAACTGCCTCCTTTGAAATCTGCTTTTGCTGCTCAGTCGGCTTGTTTCTCAACACTCACACTCTATCCGGTAAGACCTCAATAGAGCTGTGTTGCCATCGTCATCGCGTCTTCTTCCCTGAGCCTTCCGACGCCTCCCGGGCGGTTGGTGCTTCGGCTCCAAGTATTTCTGCCAAGGCTGCGCCTGCCACATCAAGGGGACGTCTTCACGGAGTGCAGCTGCATGTCACTTCATTTGACTTCATTGGAATCTCTTGAGATGAATGTGAGTGAACCCTCCCGCAAAAACAATTGTGCAGGATCGCTCCATCGAGTCCGTCACCTCCCCAACACTCCCAGATACTCCCACAACAAGCTGCACCTCCAACACCAGAATGCCCCCCAAGCGCAAGAGACGATGGCACTTTGAGAAAAGCTCCTGGATTGCTACATCTCCATAGAGCATGTGAATCCACTGAGTGATCTTCAACAGAAGTACCTTGGCTTGTGGCTGGGTTGCTCTTGGAGGTCAAACTTGCGTTCAATACACTGGCCTTCTCAGAAAGAAGAAGTCCCACATCAATCACCGGCAGGAAAGAAAAACAAAGTTTGAAAGGAACTTCTAGGAAGAAGAACAAAAGAACTCAGAAGAACCTGTATATTCGTTCTACTTCGCTCCCAAGGTGCCACATCATAGGAGGTCTTCCTCTTGAGCTCTAGCTGGGACAAGTGAAAGTTCTCCGCGCGGAACTCCAAATTGTACGGGAACTCCGGCCTCCCGAGGGCTCCGTTACTAGTAGCGATGCCCTTTGTTCCGTTCGTAGCGTCGTGTTGCACTTGTTCCTACTAGCTTCTTGTTACTACTTACTTAGGCACTTGTTACTA